CTTACGAACTCTTCAAAATCTCTCCTCAATATATGATTAAATGAAAAAAAAAATGGAGACTTTCTAAATAGAAGATGTAGTATCCAATTTTCCAATCGTTTTAAGATATAGCTAATACATGCCGACTAAGATAACTATATAATCTTTCTCAAAAAACTGTGAAAGACAAAATTTGATAGCAACATGAGGGTAACACATCCTAACAAAATGAGTTGGCCAGCCATACTTTCACCATTAATTTCATGACGATGACATATACGTACTAATGTATACATTTGATTTAGATACATTATGGGCTCTTAACTTAACTCAAAAGCCAGAATGTAGGGCTGAGCATTTAGTTTTGCTTCATTCGAATCGCAAGAGCTTGGAGTTTTAAAATTATTTTGCAAGGTTTATGGACATGTAATTAAAGAAAAATATTACAACTTTTTGTACAAGGGCAGATTCTATAAAGCATTAATCCAAATCCACATGAAAAACTCATATATAATTTCTACTTTTCTTCATGAATCAAATATTAAACTATACAATAAGAAGAAACTGATCTGTGGAGATATTACTAAACACGTACGATGCTACAAAGTTCATTATTAGAATAAAAACGAAAAATCTACCACATATTTACTAGCATGATTGGTCAATTCAAAATAACGTATGTAGTTGACGTCGTACCATATAACGCATTTAAATTTGATATGTTCTTTATTATAGAAACCACACGAAACAAAACAGCCTAAATTAGGACCACCTTAATTAATTGATTCTATGGCAGAGAAAGGTAGCTGCTCCAATACGGTGTCGCATGGGACCATTTTACTTCTTCAAGCTTCATGCCAATATCTCATTTACATATAAAAAGGTTTATTTTGGAATCTTCCTATGAACTAAAACCCTCAAACTGATTTAGAGAGTTTGTCGACGTAAGCTCTACTCTTGCCGACGTTAATTAACAGACACTAAAATTTGTAAATCTTGTTGACGAATGTTTTAATGTATTCTTTATATTTATACTTACAATCATGCATATGTATATATAGCATCTGATTTAATAAATAATGAGAAATTTCAAAAAATACCACTTTTTAAGTGACACTTTACAAAAATGCAACACTTTTGAAATCTTTACAAAAATACCACTTTTTCAATAAAAAAAAAATTTATATTATTTATGTTTGGGTTAATTATGTTCTATTAGGGTTTAGTTTTGAGTGTTTAGGGGATTTTAGGTGTCAAAACATTT